AAAAAAAATAATATGTAGAGAAAAGAGAAAATATTGAAATAGCAGCTTACCTATGCAACGAACACCTAAGATGATCCTCAATGAAGCAATTAGTGGCAGAGGTACCGCGTTCAGGTTTTGTTTCACTACGTCGTCGATTACTCTTTCTTGGCAAGATCTTTCTCTCCTTGCGAAAACGCTCATGATCCAAAAATGGATTTGTATGATCTGGCGTTGGTTCATCGCGAGCTACATCTCGTGCAAGTTTTTCCATGGCAAGAAATGATGTTTCTTCAACTGCTACTCCTTAAATAAAAACATAAAATAACTATGAACAACAAAACAAACCATCGAGCTACCTTCCACAATTGGACGGATATTTCTGGGATTATGATGGGAATACTTTCTCGTTGCCAAAGCTGCTTCTTTCTTCAACGCAGCATCAGATCGGGAACGAGCCAGCTTAGCTTCCCTTGCTGAAAGTAAAAGTGCGCGAGCATGAGATTAACTACTTGAGATGAAAGCAAGCATACCATCTCGCGGTGAATGCGCGGGAGAAGAGGGTAACGTTGTGAACACCTTTTGTAGTAGGATAACAATCATTTCGAACGAAGGCCGCTCCAGGGGATCCATCTAAACATTCATACTGAGCATAGTTAACGACTAGTTAACTTAAGGAGATGATAAACTTACCACGCAAGAATGGAAAGCTAGTTTCAAAAATGCTATTGGTGTGTCCAGTGGACAGCAAGGAGTAAAGCGAACGTAATCGAGACCGAAATTGCTTGTACGGTGTAGTCCACTATCAGGATCCGCTTCGATCCTTGCAATCAGCTGACAGAGGATCACTCCAAATGAGAAGACATCGGACTAAAACATAGACTATGGGTAGTCACAAAATGAATATGCGTATTGGGGTTAAAAAGGAATAAATAGGCTAAATGACCATTCCAAACAACTCAGATGTAATCAAAAGCACAAAATGTGAAGTTATACTTACAAGGGATGCTCGCGAAGTCGAAGTGCTCGATCACTACAAGATGCATACCATTACGAAGAGCTTGAA